ACCTTACGATAGGAGGTTGATTACTGTAAGTGCAACGACAACCAGAAGAAGGGACGGAGCCGATCGTTAAAAAGGCCCGGAGAAACTTTATCTCCAGCAACGCCCGACGGAGAGGTATTCTAGATGACTTTAACCGCCACAAACAGGGGGAGGGGGGGGGGCAACAATAATAGTAAAGTACGAGTACAGCATGCGCGGTCGGGAATACAGCATTAGCACCGCAAGACATTGATTACAGTACCGTATCATAGCATTATCCCTAGGGCTCTTTCTCTCCCGTGTGTGTCTGGGACCGCAAGTGTAATCCGGCTACGGCAGATTGATCATGATAGCATCTCTCAAATAGCAAGTCATCTCCATCCTGAGCTCCGAGGCAAGCTACAAGGCAGGTCAATCAAGCCCGCTCATTCCGTCCTCGTAATCAAGAGGCACTGGGATTGGATGACGGCTGATGCCCCCCGTCGAAAAAGAAGGAAAGAAGAAAAAGGAATCAAAGAAAAGAAAAGAGCTGCCTTCAGTTGGCTATCATAAATTTACCGTACTGCTCGAACACAGCACTCGTACGAGTACAACACCCACAAGCCCAGTAACCAGCCCAGCCCAGCCATCAATCACCCAACAGCAACCAGGAAGCGGGAAATTTCATCACTGGTAATGATCCAACAGCTGTATTCATCCCGGGCAAGAATCGCCTAAACATTGAGGATAATTTCGTTTGCGCACACAGATAACCACGGATGATTGGATATTGAGCACATTCCTCTAACCCCTTGTGCTTGGGTACTTCTTGGCTGAGGCGAGTGCGGTACCGGTATGGCGCCCACAGTGCCAGTATTCCCGCTACCCGGTATCACAAATAACAGAATGGGATCTTTGAACAAGTTTTTCCCTCCTGCACCCTTTTTCGCAGGAATTCGGATGAATAAACTCTCTAGCCCCCTGTTCACTCGCACAAATCAGCTATCCTCGGGAGAAGAAGGAACCGTACAGATACCGGTGCTCTCCACGATAATCACGCCCGGCAAGCAATCATGCAGTATGGAAGGGGCAGGCAGGGTCCACAATCACAACCTCGAGAAGTTTCTCAACCTCTGTTACACCATGGGAATCAACAACCTCCAAAAGCAAACTTACGTGCAGCGCCGCGCTCCTCGACATCAAGAGGACCCCTCCTCCAATGAAGGAAAAAGGGAGGGGGAAAAAAAAAGGTGAGAAGCAAGGAGGCAAGGGGTAGGAGGAAACTTTTCAGATAAAAATCCCACGCCATGCTGGCCACACCGGGCGTCCAGTAGGCATAACTCTCTCAGATCAGCCTTGGGGGAAATAAAAAAGCATATTATCATTGTCTGCTTGTCAGCGTGTCCTTTACGTAGAATGTACCAGTATCATACTCGAGTGCCAATTCAGCACGATATGAATCCTGCTTCCGGGAACCCCCTGGTGACACCCCGGACGGCGACATGCCCGTCCACCCGCCAAGCGGTCAGGGAAACCAAGAGGAAAGAATTAAAGAGAAGCCCCTGCCAGGGGCTTCGTTTCCTCCCAGGAAACCGATACATCTAGTTCAACCTCACAGTTGAGACTGCTGTTCAGAGTTAGACTAGGGTGCGGTGCAAGTGTAGGAACAAAGCACCGATACGGTACGGTAGTTTACTGTGGACTACCAGTACTACCCGTACCGGTAGTGTATGTGGGAAAGATTATAGCTGCACCAGTCCAAGGAACGGCACGAATGAGGTACGGTACCGTACGAGTACAATATACCCGAGTACCGTACTCGAGTACTACCGGTCTGGATAGTACTGGCACAATAAAGTACCGGAACCGGTATTCCGTTCTCACGATTGTGCACCGGTAAATCGTAAATCGTACCCCATCTCGGAAGGCTTCTAGAATATAGCGATTATGGTTGGTGGAAGGGGTAAACTGAGGCATCACTCCCCTTCTATCAATACCAATCTCGTTATCAATAGGCTGAGGTAAAACCCGACGTCAGTCCATCGTGAGTTTCCCCACCACCAATCACTGCTCTGATGTTAAGATATGCTGGCCGACATTGCTCCACTCACCTCTCTGTTTCGGCGAGTACCGTAGGTCACAGCCGCCTTGGGGGAGCCATGCAGTATCATATGTTGTGTATACAGAACTACCATCACCTGACGACTCTCGGAGGCCTTCGATTCTCGCCTCCGCGATTCTGCGCCGTACTGAGTGTCGCACTGGTAATTGAACGGGGTTTGTGAACACGACCACTACCGTATTGCATGACACCAAGATGCAAGCAAAAGAGCCGAATCTTGGCGGTATGCAAAAGCAGCCATGGCTCAATTACGAGTGCTCGGCATCCCCGCGCGGTAGGCGCGTGACTCGGTTCCCCGAACCTGAGATTTCCCCAAACACACACGCAGACACCATAGTACTCGAGCACAGTGCTGTACCGTACCAGTATCTATGACACCAGCTCCCACAGCCTTGTTCCGAATAGGCGAGGTACAGCAGGAGCCCTTCTGTCGTATCGATGACCATTCGCCCTTCCAGGGGCAAAATGGAGAAACAGGCAAGACATGCTATTATAATATAGGACGGAGCGATATGGCGGACCGAGCAAGTCGAGAGGATTGAATTCCCCGAATTGACTCCCCCTCCGCACTCTACAGGACCGATACATCATGCGTGGAGACGCCGAGATTAACACGGGATTGCATTAGGGAGGTCCAAAGCTCTCAGTAGTACGCTGCGAACCGAGTACCTGGTACTTGTACGCTATATACCGTACCCCACAACTACAGGCGTACTCGTACTGCTTGAATGAAATGACCGCACCTCTGTACAGTACTGGTATGCTGCATCCCTCCTCCCGAGGAGGTTTGCTGGACCGTAATTTCCAAAAAAATACGCCTCTGCCGGAACACCTCTACCGAAACACCTCTACCGAAACACCTCTACCTTCCGTGTACCGGGGGTTTTGAACCTCCCTATCGCAACTGTGCAATGTTCCGATCGCACATGACACCAGTTCTCCGGAATCTACACACCGCTACCGGTGCCAGTACGAGTACTCGTACTGTATCGTATGTAGGCGATCACATGCTTCTCGCAGGCGCAGTACCGTACGGGACCGGTAGTTGTGTTTCCAAGTATCATACAGGCCAGATTCCACGACATAATTTGAAGAGGAGGCACCCAGATCCCACCCGACCTGGCATCGGCAGGATTTGTGATGAACGGCTCTCCCCATCGTACTCTTGGTGCACGATTCCACACGCACAATGTTTGCACCAAGCCCGTGATTGACAGCGGTCATCCCGTATCGCCTCGGATGGAGCGAAACAAACTTCCGGCTTCCGTACCGCTCGCTCTACGAAACCTACGCCAATCAACCTGTCACCTGTCAGATGAGCGATCGCACAAACTGGAATCTCAGCGAACATTTCGTTTTTTCCTCCCTTCCGCCCCCCAAGAGGAGAAAAAGAGGCGCACGCTTGGCAAATTGGTCCGTGCACAACAAACCAGTTGTCCCGCCCACCCCATCTGTACTCGAGTACCGGTACCGGTACTGGCACAAGTACTGTACCGGTACAGTACTCTACCTGTACAAGTACCTGTACTACCGGTAGTACTCGTACCCTTCCCGTCTCAGCCACACCCCAGCGACACCAACTCACCAGCACCCGGGCACGATTTAGTCAGTTAATTTGGGTTGAAACTGATACCGTACCGTAGTCTACTGTGCGGTATCATACCCTATCTGTATCATACGGGACGATTTGGTTTTCTTTCCTTTTTTTCCCCCTCCCTCCCCCCCCTCCTTATCCGGGCACCGTCTCATAATGTCCCATTCACCGCCATCGATTCTAAATTTTTTCAACCTGCGCCGGAGAAAAACCATGGCCACCGATACGCTATCGCCGGTCCTTCAAGAGTTCATCAACAAGACGATGCGCATCACCACGACCGATACAAGGGTTTTTGTGGGCGAGCTGAAGTGCACCGATAGAGTACCGTAACCCGTTCCCCCCCACCCCACCGGCATCGATATCATCATAATCATCATCATCAAACACACCATCACTTCACGACCCAGCAAGGAGATTTGTTCTTTGTTTTCGATGTATCGGGGGGCATTCAGCTAATATAGCGCCCAGGATAAAAACCTCATACTTTCACAAACGCATGAGTACCGGTATCCGACTGGGGATGGATTACGAGTGGAGGTGGAGAGCGGGGAGGGGGTGGTCGAGGAGGGGAAAGTGAAATTGACCCTTAAGAGCCGCTACATTGGATTGATAGTTGTGCCCGGAGAGTTCATAATCAAAATTGAGGCTGAGGAAGGACAGGGGACAGTGGGTAGTGCTAGGGGGAGCATGACTGTCAGTGTTGATCGGGAGAGTTGATGTCGGTGCAGGTGCTGTGCCGTACGTGGAGAGGTTGGTGGTGGTGAGATGGGGAGTGCTAGATCGTGAGGCGGGGGGGGTTGCGGAGTTTATACGGAGTTTATACGGCGGCTCTATACCCTGCTGGTGGCTTCTGCGATTTCTCGGTGTTTTGTGCCAATCCTCGGAAGGGGAATTACGCCTCGCCTGATGTACAGTACCATACAATACCATTATGATCGCTTCTCGGTACTTGGTACCGGTATCTGCGCATACCAGTATGGTACTCGGGCATGATGGGAAAGGGCGAAAAACTTTTTATGGTGGCAGAGTACCGATAGCAGGTACGTAGGGATCATGTTGATTGATCGATAAGCTTTGTGGAATTGGACACAGCGTTGAGGTAGCTAGAAACCTGGATCAGTTGCATTGGAGTTTGCATCTGGCCTCCCGCTGTTGACACAAATGGGAAGTTCTGGAGGGCTTCTGGACCTTCCTGAGCAACTCAATTCATATAAGACCAATCCGTCCTGAGTTCAATTATCACTATTTCAATACTTTTATCGCTCCTTTCCTGCTTCGATGTCTTGCTGTCAGCTTGTTAGTGAGGCACTGTAATGCGCGCTGTACCCACTACGGGCTCTTCGTGTACACGTGATGTGGTGTTTTTCCGCTGGAGTTGACTGTTTGCTCACCACTCCGGAAGATCCTGCTGAGCCTTTTTTTCCTTCTTCTTATCCTTTCTTTCCTTTCTACGAACTATACCCGGGCACAGAGCGACTTGATCCATCGCTCCGGGTCTCGAATTGTCTCGGAGCTCGCTGGAGTGAAGAAAGTGGGATAATTTACATCCAAAGCCCCCCCCCCCCACTCAAGCCTCAAATGCCTTCAGCCTTCCCAACAGATAAGTTAAGAAACACGTTTTCCTCTCTCCCCCTCATCCTCCCTCCGAACATCGTTCACTATGAACATTGATGACATGGTTTCATTCAGTTGGGATTTCGCGGCTAGAGCTCGATACTTCTTGTTCTGTGCAAGTACGATTCACCAAGCCCCTTAGGTCCTTATGACGGGAGTGAGACGTTTTCAGGGAAAAAGGTTCGCCTGGTGCATCATTCCCACGACAGTTAGTCCCCAACACGGCTCTCTGTTGTTTCTCCGGCACCGATTCTTCCCCCAATTTTCACTCACACTCACTCACTTTTGGAACGAAATTTGGTGACATCATGGCAACGGTGGTCTGCGTCATTCCTGGCTGGACAGAGAGAGGGGGGGAGAAACGAACAAACTTCCTTCTCCATATTCCCACCCTCTTCACTCTCCCATTACTCCTACAAGCAATACATATTAGCAGCTGATTCCCTTTCGTCTGCTCGAGCATCCCTCCTCCCTCCTCCCTCCTCCCTCCTCCTCCTCCTCCTCCTTCCTCCACCCCCCGACCCTCGACATTCTTCGCTCACTATCATTTGATCATCCTATTTGTGCCCCTTTCGCCGATAATACCGCTATTGACCCTATTCCCGTTGAATCGGGTCATCTTTGCACTTCACATCTCGGTAGCCCCCACATCTGTTGATCAACCGCCCCTCTTCATCATCGTCATCATCAAGCTTCATCATCCTCTGATTCCTGCCAAGAGGAACATCATTAGTTGTAGCAGTCATGCATCGAACTTATTCAATGCGTCAGTCGCGCGCACCAACTCAATCGCAGATTGAGAAACCACCCCCACCGCCTAGCAGCACCAAGGTTGGCAGGTTGTTTGGTGGGGGAAATTTTGGTTGGTCTTTCCCCCTCTCCTGCTGCATGCCGTGCCGGAAACCATGCGCACTCCTTGGGCTCTCTGATTATTTCGTTTGATGCTCTCTTGTTACTGCTTTGCCGATCTGTTTGACATGCGGTAGTGAGAGAGCTCGCGGAATGATCCAGGTCGCTAACATGATGGCTGATTGGAGGTGCTGCAGGTCATAACCTTCGCAAGTCTATGGCCGGTGCATAGTACGTTTACCTCCTCTGGTTTTGTTGCTCTGCCGGACTAACCGGTTACTCTTGCCGCTGCAGTGGGCCGGAATTGGCAAAAAAGCTCTCGCAGCTTGTGAAGATGGAGAAGAATCTTATGAGGTCTATGGAGCTCGTCGGCCGTGAGCGCCGTGAAGTCGCTCGGCAACTTTCCATTTGGGGAGAAGAATGTGATGAGGACGTTTCGGATATCACCGACAAGTTGGGCGTGCTTATATTCGAGATTGGAGAGCTTGAGGATCAGTTCATTGATCGCTACGATCAATATAGGGTTACCATCAAGAGTATCAGGAATATTGAGGCTAGCGTGCAGCCTAGCCGAGATCGTAAGTGCTTGCGACATATAGTAGGGACCCGGAAACGTACTGATTGAGCTGGCGTCTAATAGGCAAGCAAAAGATTACGGATCAGATTGCTCAATTGAAATACAAGGATCCGAATTCTCCCAAGATTGTTGTCCTTGAGCAGGAATTAGTTCGTGCGGAGGCCGAGTCACTTGTTGCCGAGGCTCAGCTGTCGAATATCACTCGAGAGAAGATCAAGTCCGCGTTCACCTATCAGTTCGATGCGCTCCGCGAACACTCGGAGAAATTGGCATTGATCGCGGGGTACGGAAAGCACTTGTTGGAACTTATAGATGACACTGCAGTTACTCCCGGTGAAACCCGGGAGGCTTATGACGGCTACGAAGCGAGCAAGGGGTATGTTCACATGAGTTCACATGATGGGATCGTGGTATATGCTGATGTCTTGATAGCATCATTCAAGATTGTGAGGACGCTCTCACTAACTGGGTCGAATCAAAAGCGGCTGTTAAACCACGTTTATCTGTGCGTGGTTCTCGCCAACGCCGTACTCACGGTCGTGGAACTCGCAGTGGAAACATCGGTGAGCCAGTCTCTCTAACCGACCAGGATAGACCACTACGTGGTTCGGGCGTATGGGTTCCCGCAGATGAGCATGAACGCCACCGCGCCCACGGAGCTCCGGTCCATAGCCCTGCCGGTGATGATGACCAGTATGAAGACATTACCGACGATGAAGTGGATCGCGGAAATCATCGCGGCAGCCGAAGGCATGGGCGTGACCACGAGCATGACCATGACGTTGACAGGCGCCAATCCTCCCGCAACCGTGACGGTAAGAACGCCGATGGCCCCAACGGTGACGCCCACTCCCGCAGCCATGAGGATGAAGGTGGCGCGGTCCTTCAGGATTGACAGACGTCGACTGGGGACGTCGGGAAGGAGACGACGTCCGGGGATATGGACACGGTGACAACGACGGAAACTACACAACCGATGGCTTTTCCTACAGGATATAATAACGGCATTCATAATACCACACGTTCCATTCTTACAACCCGTAATTCACCTCCGGGAACCTACCCTGCCGAACCTGCTACCAGTACTACTACCGCCACGGGCGACCACCACAAGAATTGCAAGTCAACCGCAGCGGAAACAACCCCAACAGCATCCACCCAGCCGACTAGTGTTACGTTCCCCCCAACCTCACCTCACAACACCACCAACCCCCTCGTAGAGGAACAACAGCCAGGACAAGGATATAGAAGACCAATAGCTATGCGAACAACTTTGCGAGACGACCCCGAATACCAGGAGCAAAAAGAAGATAGCAGCAGAGCCATCCGGGAGGAAGCGGAGAGAGAGCGGGACTTGGGGTCTATTATTGATAAGCAGTACGATGGCGATGGTACCGGGGAGGATGCTGTGGAAGACGGGGGAGGGAGTCCAGGTCTTTTCGAAAGGGTAGCAGAGAAGCTTGGGCATGCTTTGGGGACTGCGGCTTGATTAATGGGTATTTTTTATTGTTATTTTTCTATCCTCTTGTCCTCTTTGGTTGGTATGAGTTGTGTTTGCTTGCTTGTTGGCTGTTTGATTGATGAGGGGGTTCCTGGGACGGTGAGTGGATGGCTGGGGGCGATAAAGCGGATGTGGGAGTTTATGATTTTCCGACCCCCCCCTCTCTTTTTTTTCATTCCTTTAACACAAACACGATATGCCCCTGATAATGAAATGTATAACTCTAGTCTTGTTCAGGACTGCACATACACACACTCAGTGTATCAAGATTTGGAACGGTGATTGAAAGTAATGTTTTTTTGATTTTTTTGATACGGTACGTGACCGTGCCTTGGACGGTTGATAGCATACGGTAAATTGCAGCTCTTGGGTACAATACCGGAAAACAGCATTTCCTACCTTAAAATTTGATATCATTGTGGGCACAGTGATCCTGTATTCCACCCTATGAGTTCACGTCAAGTTGAAGCAATCACACTCTCGTTAAGCCTTTGAGAGAGAAAAAAAAAGTAGGAAAAAGAGCATGAAAAGGAGGGGCTCGCACAAAGTCGCAGTACCCAGACTACTAATATATTTTCTTTCTTCACACACAAGCATCCCTTGAGTTTTACAATCTTTCACTACCCTTTTGCCAAGCTTCAGGAATTCCAGCTTCCTCCATGCCTCGATCACCCTTTCTTTTTAGGGAATCAGGACCGTAATGGGAATCCACTGATAGCAGCCCATCCTAGCAGGAGGTTTGTATTTTTGGCACCTGGACCCGGTGGGTGGTCGGTTCTCTATATCGTCTATATCATATAATGCTAGTGCAGATTCTCCCACCTTAGAACCAGCATTTCGCGCGCGGGGTCCCCTGCAAGGCGAAGGCGCAACAGATCCGGTGTAGCACTTTACGGCGGGAAGGGAGGGCGATACCGGTAAGTTAAGTCTTGCTCGTATCATACTCGTACATATCAACGGGGTGGATCTTAGACGGCCGAGCCATGTTGGAGGATTACCGGCTGACTGGCAGGCAGGGGTGGGTGCGTGGGATTAGTAGTTAGGATTCGGAGGTGTTCGTACAAGTATCATACCGCAGCGGACAAGAGTCTGTTCGGACCCGCTCTTGTTACCCATACCGATGCTTAATTTTGTATTTAACTACTTGTATCATGTTATCATACAATTGTATATATATAAAGCGACCAAGCAAAAGTCTTGGTGATTTAGCCTGTTTCCTACCAAAACTGGGCAAAAACCCCTCTTTTCAATTGCTTATAGTTTATTAGAATCATGTGCTCCTTCTCCCATATTCAGGGGTCAAAGTCACTTTACCCACACAATACCCCAGAAATAATTTGAAGCCTTCTCAGTACCAACTGCAGGTGCTGCTAGCTTGTAAAGTTGTACCATCACCTAAAAGTTATCATTATCATCAGTTTACTATAGAGATAGTTGCTATGGCAATACATAATCACCAGGTAGTATCTTTGAGAAGCCACAGCATGGTGGGAGCAGGCTAGTGAGATCTCTAAGATATTGGATGATACTGTCTACATACTTATATAACTGCTTGGAAATTTTTCTTGCCCCAGTTTTAGATAGGAGTTCATTCAGGGACCCCCCAAAATAACAAGTTTTGGTGTAAATGTGCCGAATCACCAAGACTTTTGATAAGTCACTTTACACATATTTGTGTTTTATCCCACTCAGTATACGAGTACGAGTACGGTACAACACAAAAGTGACCAAGAAAAAGTCTTTTTTCTTTTTTTTTTTCTTCCTTCAATTGTTTGTATTTCACCAAAATCAAGTGCTCCCTTTCCCATATCCAGGGGTCGAAGTCATTTTACCTGTGCAATATCATACCTCGGGAATAGTTTGAGAGCCTTCCCGGTACCAACCGCACGTGACTGCGAGCCTGCACTGTAAGGTCGTGCCATTGTTTACGAGCGCGGCCGATAGATATATCCGTCACGTGAAATCTGAGAGGCAAAAGCGGCACATTGCAACAAGCGGAATATCTTTTTGATGCCTCAACTGAGTACCGTACGATACCTCCTGACTTGGCCCACAACTTATCCATAAATCCAAAAGAGATATGCGATTAGGGTTGTTCTAAAATGTTGGATGAGGGGAATCAGGCTCGCAGGGAGTTCTACATGTTTACCACGATGTCCGAGCATTCATCATGGTTGCAATGTGCCGCTTTTGCTTCCCAGATTTCACGTGACGGATATATCTAGACTATCGGCCGCGCTCGTAAAAAGTTAGTTATCACCATCATCAGATTACGATGGAGATAGTTGCCATGGCAACACCTCACCACCGTGTACCGTACCCGTATCATAGCACGCTTTGACAAGCTGCAACATGACGGGGACAAGGTTAGAGGAATCTCTAGTAAGAAGTTGGATGACACTCTTTACATACATAATATAAAACTATGATACTTGGAAAATTTCCTGCCCCAGTTTAGCTCTTTCAGGAACCCCTCAGAATGACAAGTTTTGGTGTAAATGTGCCGAATCACCAAGAGTCACAACTTTTTCTATTCTCATATGTACCCGCAATCCCACCCACCCACATCCATCCACCACCAAGCTTCCAAATTTCAAATCCTCCTCCCATTCTCGCGAAAAGCTCCGACGGAACCAGATATTAAGATCTAGTCCAGCCTCGCACGCAAGTTTCGCCTTAACTTGTATGATATGATACCATGGTATTGTACCTACCCCCCCACCCACCCACCTCGTGCTAACAGCGCGCATAAAAAGTGGGTACCGGTAAGGTATCGTGCCCTACCTATTACCTTATCATACCTATGATACCTACCGTTCCATATTTGGAGGGAGAAAATGCACAGTACGATACGGAGATCGGATGATGGCCCATACCGGGCAGGGAATTCTAGTATGATATAATCCCTTCCAGGAATCAAACGGTGGTATCATATATATCGCATTGGGGAAAAAGGTAAAAAAAATTAGAAAAATAAAAAAAAACCGCTATAGCATCATAATACGACCTACTCTGAAAGTGATCATCTACTATTTCTGCAAAAAAAAAAAGAGAACTTGGTTTTGGGGTTTTGTTAGAGATGGATATCTGTGGGATCTGCGCATCTCGCCCCCGGCTACCCCGGCGAAGCCAGATATCCCACCGTGCTAGGAAGGTGCGAGTGTTATTGGCCGATATGATAAAGTAGCCTAATGCAACTCCTGGTGCTTGTCAGTGGAAAGCAATCTTTTTTGCTTCGAAAAGTCCCACTACTATCATATAGTATGGTAAAGTTAGGCAGACTTGCCGCTCAAACTGGAATTGGAATTTGCAATCGAGTGATGGAACATGACCATCTCTTGCCCGGCCACCCCAGCGCTTGGGCCGGAATCACTCTTCGGGATATCCAGCCTCCCGAAAACCTACAAGGCGAAAAATAAAACAATTCCCCCAACTACTAGAGTTATTCAATTCAATTCAATTTAGCAATCACCCACCAATCCCACCTAGCTCGAAGTAACACAGTATGGCCAGGTAAAAATTTACACAAAAGAAAGAGAAGTAAAAAGGAAAGAAAAAACCTCTTAAGATATATATAGGCAACCCACACTATTCACTCACCCACTCATCAGTACAGTATAGCAATAGCCAGGTAGACCAATCAGGTGGACAGAAATGCATGGCTCAGCCACGCCATACAGCTATAAGAATAATAGTGATAATAATACAGCCGATACACACCGTGACAAACAACGTAGGTAAGTGAGTAGCAGGGACCACCATGACAGCGAATAAAGCGAAAAGATGGAAAGGGAGAAGAAGGGGAGGGGAGACGAATTAGGGAAAGATAACTACACCCACAGACAAGAACCCAGTATTAAAAAATCAACGGAAAAGCAAAAGGAACAAGAAAACGCGAAAGATAATGGGAAATCGATCAAGGTACGGCAGCCACAGACAGTCAGTGCGTCACAAACGAGCTTTTACAGCAGCAGTAGTGGTAGGAATACCGGAAATTTCACCAAATCCCCAGGTCCGGATTCCCGTGGTGATGGTGATGGTGAAAGTGATTATGAAGCACATACTCCACATCCTCATCATAATCATCGCCTTCATCCAACTCCTGCTCGTCTTCATCATCCGGATCTGCTTCGTCATCATCAAGGTCGAACCCCCCAGGCCACCCAAACGGCGGATACCCGATTCCGAAAATCCCGTCGTCATCACTATCGCTGTCATAGCTGAGCTGGCTGCACTCCTGACACCAGTGCGTATCCTCGTAGCCGAACTCCCCGTCTACCACATCCGGGTTCTGTTCAGGGTCTACATCCACTGGGGGTTCTGGAATGTTTTCGTTCGGGGATTGCATTATCCACTTTTGCCACTCGCGGACTTGGGACTGGCGGAGGTGGTGTTCGTGCGCTATTCTGCCTTCCGAAAGGTACTTTAGTGAGAGGCTGGCCAGGACTGGTTTGTTCGTTGAGCGAAGGTGGCGGAAGATGTCTATCCAGGGCGCCGGGTGGGATTCCTGCGGGTCCGGGTTATTGAAAAAGTTGGCATGCATGGGCATTGAGACGCGATCATGGTCGATAATGTCGCATTTGTGCAAAAGGATTTGCGAAAGTGTTTGTTTGTGGATTGTTAAAAAGTTTTTGAAGAGCTCACGGGGAATGAAGGCGTGCTGGAGGAAGAGCTTAGTGAGGTGTTTCCAGTGATGAACCGTCGGGGTTTTTGTCGGCCCCGAGATGATAGGGGTGAAATGCATCAGAGAATTTAGCCTGGAATAGGCGATGGTGCTGAGGTTTAGGTGCTTAAGGTCCTCTGAGGCGCGAAGCAACCGACCGACGGGGTAGAGCCAGCTTGGAGTCGTGCCATCATGAAGGGACTGCGCCATTGTCATGGAGAGGCTGGCTTCTCGGATAGCCCTCATCCCAACTGACGCCTTGTCGAGAAAGTCGCCAGAGAGAAACAGGCAGTCCGCAATCAGACCCTGTATGGAAACAGTGGTGATGGGCTTTAACCCGGCGGTCGACTCGGCACGGAGGGAGAGGCCTTTGAGAAAAGCGCGAAAGACAAGCGGCCCCCAATTGCTGCTGCCGTTATGGCTACTCGTAATGTTCAGGTTGGGCAGTATGTCGGAGAGCGTTTGGGCAGGGTGAACGGTGATGCCAACAGTTTGGAGGTTCGGGAAAGACTCGGAGAGAAGCTTTACATGAACCCTCTCAATATCCCCCGACATTTGAAAATTCAGGATTCGGGTGAGGTGAGAAATTTGTTGACGGCATGCTTCAGTGTGCGCCGACATAGTCTCCGCATACAACTCTTTAGGCAGGGAAATAACCTTCAGGTAGTCCTTCATCGTGGTGGCTACTACTCTGTCATTATGCATGTCTAGTGAGATTGAGGTGGGATGGAAAGGGATGAAGTACGTGCAATGCTGCGAGGCTCGCCGAAGCGAAAAAGATACGATTTCAACAAAGGGGCAAGATTTGCGCGTTTGGAAATGTTGGATAGGCGATCTAGGGTGCATTCATCGTCGGTGATGCAAAGGCTGGCAAATGCGTGCGGCGCAATAATATCACTGAAAGTACGGCAGACAAGACGCAATCTCAAATAAGATCCATTGAACCTTGAACCGAAGGGGGTGCCGGTAACGCAATGATTCTCCGGCTTCAGGATGTTGTGAAGAATTTCTGGCGGGAGGGTATCCATGGTTGAATAACTGTGGCGATGACGCCAGAGGCTTGTCGAACACTCGTGATGGTGAAGCCGGAGGACGTGTGGTTGAGTGAGGGGGTGGAAGGGAGGGGAGAAGAAGGGGGAGTATGATAGGGAAGGAAAGGAAGGGAGGAAGGGAGGAAGGGAGGAGTGGAAACAGGGGATGTGGGGAGAGAAGGAGGAAGAGGGAGGGGAAGGGTAGCAGGGCAAGGTAGGTAGGTAGGTTGATGGGGGGGGAGGGTTGGTTGTTGCTACCCTAGCTTCAGCGGACTAGATCATGATCCGTCTCGACCGACCCACCGCAGCAGGGGACCCCCGAAGGGCGAAGAGCAAAGCGTGAGGAGCGGATGAAGGAGGGGATGGGGGAGGGGAGAGGACTGGCATGAAAGGGTGACAATATATCTGGGGTAGAGTAAAACAATAGGGACAGGAAATACGGTAAGCTTGAGAAGGGTATCTCTCAGGGACGAAAGGCGTAAAACCTAGAAAAACCCAGGAGCCGGGTCGACAAGACACGCCAAGCCTCTCTTGCATGAATGGATTAAGGACTGCCACCTAATCAGATTGATCTAAGATAGCCATTGCAGAGAAGGGAGACGGAGCGATGCATTGCATATTCTGCGATATCCGATGCTCACTGAGTCAAGGGCAAAAATTGGCTGAGGCTCCGGAATCGATTATGCACGTCCATTTAAACACTCCTCCTGTCCCTCCAAGCACACAGCCTTTTCCTCGATCCCAACTCCCCCCCCCGGCTCGTCTGGCTGTCTCGAACTCGCTCATCTCGCCCATCCCGATCTGCCCTCTCTTCACCTAGGAAACCCTCCCAACGAAACTCCCACCGGGAAAGCCTCCTTCTCTATTGCTCTTTACTCAGCACATCGGAAGCTGTTCGGGACGAAAAAAGAAAAAAAAATGACCACCGCAAAGCGTCTCTGTATAGGAGTGGCTTGTGCCAACCCCATATCCACTCTCCAGTGTCCGACATGTCTCAAGCTTGGCAAAGAATCTTTCTTCTGCTCGCAAGATTGTTTCAAGACCAGCTGGGTAACTTTTTCCTACTCTCCTTTCGGGCTCGCTTTGGGGCTCTCCCCGTATGCCCACTATTCGTACTCACCTCTTAATCGAAGGGACGGACGTAGGGGATTCAGAAAATGGCTGAGCACAGGATACCGGCTAACATCTCTAAAGTCCGAACACAAAATTGTTCACAAGCAGTCGGCCCGTAAGAATCCTACCCTCCTCCAATCTTTAAAAGATCTAACCAAGCCAACACCTCTCCCGACCGACTCAGAAACCGGAATCTTCGACCCCTTTCCCAACTTTCCTTACACTGGCAGCATACGTCCTGCCTATCCCCTCTCCCTGACGAGAAAGCTTCCCCCGAGCATCAGGCGTCCGGATTATTCCGAGGATGGAGTTCCCAGGTCCGAGCAAAACAGGGGAAGTCCTAAAAACATCACCATCCTAAATGCGGAGGAGATTGAGGGTATGAGGAAAGTTTGCAGGCTGGCTAGGGAGGTTCTCGATATTTGTGCCGCGGCGGTCAGACCTGGTGTTACCACGGATGAGTTGGATGAGATTGCTCATAAGGCTTGCATTGAGCGTGATGTTCTACTTCCCTGTGCCTAAAAGTTTGGTCTCTGGTTAACTTTTTTTTCTTCTACGCAGTCGTACCCATCCCCGTTGAACTATGTAAACTTCCCCAAGTCTATATGCACTTCCATCAACGAGGTTATTTGCCACGGGATCCCGGATCAGAGAAAACTGGTAAACGGCGACATCATAAACCTTGATATAACCCTCTATCACGGTGGCTTCCACGGCGATTTGAACGAGACATACTACGTTGGTGACAAGGCAAAGGCAAATCCTGATACCGTACGAGTGGTCGAGACGTCGAGAGATTGTCTAGACGAGGCCATTAAACTCGTTAAGCCCGGTATGCTTTTCCGCGACCCCGGGAACGTCATTGAGAAGCTTGCGAAGCAGAGGAATTGCAGCGTTGTTAGGACGTATATTGGTCACGTGCGTTAGCCAATATTCCCACCATAATGGATAGTCTACTGACTATGGATGATCAGGGCATCAACCAGCTCTTCCATTGCAATCCTAACGTGCCCCATTATGCAAAGAACAAGGCGGTAGGTGTAGCAAAGCCGGGAATGTGCTTTACCATCGAGCCGATGATCAACCTGGGCACGCATAAGGATACCACCTGGCCAGATAAGTGGACCAGCACCACCACCGACGGCAAGATGAGTGCCCAGTTCGAGCACACGCTCTTGGTGACTGAGGATGGCGTGGAGGTCTTGACCGCCAGATTTCCCGATTCTCCAGGTGGCAAGACGCCCATTCCCGGGATTGGTAGGAACGTAGAGGGTGGCGATAAATAGGCATGAGGGGCGAAGGGGGTTAGAATGATATCTTGAATGCTATCTGGAGATTTGTTTGTTTGTTTGTATCGCAGTAATAGAAGCATTCAGCGTAGCTGGGCACACCTGGTCCCGCCAGGTTACAGGATTCATGGATAAAGCCGTTCAGCGTGTGCAGAGGGCGCAAACCCCCCGCCGCGGCGATGCAGATAAGAAAAGTCTATCCTTCTATCAACCAACTCATTCCACGCCCACCGAACAAACGGTCCCCCTAATCGATTTCCTCCCCACTACTGGTGCTCCTCCCGTCCGACCCTTCCTCCTCCCCCCCTTCGACCAGCTCAAACTCGACAACCAGATAAACCTCCCCACTCTCCTTGTTCTTCAGCAGGAACCTCAAGGGCTGGCCATCCCAATACTTCAGGATGTCCACCCTGAAGCCGGGCAACACGACCCTAAACTCGCGGAAATCCAGCCAGGGGCCAGAAAATTCCATGCTGTACACCTTCCCCGCCTCAAACACCCACTCTTTCCTCCTGGCCTCGGTCAGGAAGTGCTTTCTGCGAGCTCTCGCCGTGAGGCCCAGTCCATTATCCTCCACCAGCCCGCCTGCCTCTTCGCCCCCTCCCCTCCCCGCACAAGGCACGGGGCTGGGGGGAGACGTGGAGATCGTGGACATGGAGGCCAGAGCGGGCCCGAATATCCACGGCTCATCGGCATACACGTCGGCGTCAAGGCTCGGGTCAATCCACCTGGCGGCAGAGAGCAACAGCGGGAAGGCGAACGGCAGGGAGTCACGGATCGGGTGGCTGAAGTGGTTGCCCCACACGAGCGCGTCGCCGGGAATGGGAGTCTTGGGGACGAGGGTTATGCACAAGGCGTAGAGGTCGCCAGTGTGGTTCTTGTGAGCAAAGTAGGGGGATGTGGCCGGCGATTCGGGGGACGACGAGGCGGGACAGAGGTTCTTGATGTGCAGGGTTAGGTGGACCGTGGCATTTTGCGTCGATATGCTGGTCCTCTCGAGGGTGTTGGCGGGGACGGGGGTTAGCCTGCCGATGGCAGGACCGGCGGAGGTGCGGAGGCGGTAGGGGCGTGGCATTTTTCTTTCTTTCTCCCTTTCTTTCTTTCTCCGCGAATGCTGTGTGATGTGCTTGCGCCTGTGCAGTACCGGCACAGTTATAATAGAGATATGTAGGAGGAATACGAGTGTAGGTATCATAGATGGGAGAAATAGTCCAGGCAAGGGCAAGAGTAAAAAGCATGCAGCCACCCCCCCCCCGTGTTGAAAAACGGTTACGCATACCGGTATTTCTTTTTCCTTTCTTCGAATCCCCTTTTCTGCACATAGTTTAAGGCGACATCCCGGATCCAAAGTGCTATTCGAAACTTGACGCTCAAAAAACAAAACAAAAAAAAACAGGCCTCGGGGGGGCTGAAATTCCTTTGGGGCCAGAGAGAGCTCTGGAATTTTCCTCACTCTAAACAAGACACGGGCCAGTCAGGAGTCTACAGTGCTTATCATACAAGTACCGTACTGTACCGGTACAGTAAGTTACCCGTAGCTATGAGACAGTACCACCAACCCTTTTCCCCCTTCTTGAATAGCGGGATACCGTAGTCAGATGCCGCAAGTATCATGCAAGTATGATACATTACGAGTGCTCGTGAGCCTCACGTGATGGATAGACCTGTATCTACTGGTATCGGCCGCAATCCGCTACGGTACAATACCAATGCAGCAGCTCATTGACTCGGCGCCTTTCCGGAAACAGTTTAGGGAACCGCACTCAGTACGGTACAAGTAGTCCAGTAGTACGTGACTTGTACCGAGCGGTGACGTACTTCCGCTGATGTCGTCACGTCCCACAGCCGGATTCATGCCCGCCATCGTACTACTGGTAACTTATACCGTACGATCCTGATACGGTAGGCTGGTACAGCCACGGTAGCTAAGCTGTTTCCGTATGGTCGAGTATGGTATGTACTCGTACTGCACGAGTATGATGCAAGCACTTTCCAGCTGACAGATGCCTCAAACCGTGCAAACGTCCCTGGCTGGGCGGCCATGAGGTCTAATTGCCAGTACTCGTACAGTACTGTACCGGCACAATAGGGAGGTTTTGCTACGACGGTCGTCGCTTGAACTGTACTTATCACCACAGCAACGGCACTAACCTTTCCAAATGTGCAATAGCGCTTGGTGGCTCATGTTTGCACAGTCTTAAGAACAGTTATTAAATAAGACGGTCACCGAGGGGTTGTGTTGACATGTTTGTTTACCAAAAACCAGTTTAATAACGGACGTAATATGTGACAAAATAAGTACCGGTATAGTCCATCTAAAGTACCACGGTCGTAGCAAAACGACTGAAAAAAACGAGTGTTTGCCACACTGAATTTTGCCAAGGTTTAAGCACAGTTCTAGCGACGACTGTCGTGGCAAAACCTCCCTGATGCTCGTGCCGCATTGCGGTCCGCGCAGATCGACCGACGGGCGGAGGACGGCGCCAATTAGGTATAGTATGATAGGCATCCTACGCTACATGTACTCGAGTACAGTACCCTACAGTATCATATCGTAATATTTTGTCCCCGTTTCAGGGGCACAATCGACGACTTCCCGAAAGCGATTTTGGATGCACCATTCTCCTGTCCACTTTTGAGCATTTATTATACATTCCCGCCGCTTTTTTACCCCCCAATCCCGTGCTCGTCGTATCCGATACAATGATCGGGTTGCGGTAATCAGCTCTGAAGAGAAGGTTTTTGAAATACTGATCCGGACAATGTTCCCCCCCCCCCCCGCCTCCCCACCGTAAGGACGAAAAAGCACTGGCACAATCGTCTCCATGTCTAAGATGGCAGTGTACAGTAGAATAACCCTCACTATGATATCACAAAAACCTCCCAATGCCCACTTTCCCCCCTCCTACGGGTATCGTAGATGCACTAGCAAGCCTGGCTCGGGCTTATTGCGGGAGCCCGTGGCGGTCGTTGGATTGGTAGCAGGTGGTGCATGCATGCAAGCGCGTTATGTGGATGTTTACGGTATTATGTTGTGCCTGGAAAGAGCACTGCATTTTATAGGGAAGATACGAGTTCTGTACAGTACTATATCACTGGTATAATAGTCGCCTCCCATATCATAGTACTTGTACCGGTACCGTGAGGCGTTGCGCATACAAGTATCCCCTTTGTCCCGGCCGTGGGCTGTGTTTGCCGCCTTTCCCCTTCGCGTGATTGTAGCCAGGAAGGGGAATTTCAAAGTCCCACGGTACCGGTACCGATATTCCCCGGTATTCGCGTCCAAACAGCGTCCTATCTGAAGCCCGAACACAATCACGCTGGCCACACTATACCGTGGAAGTACCGGTACTGTACCACCATACTCCACGGTGTGGCATGCACGAGCAGTGAAGTTAATTATAGATTGACGACCAGAAATTTCTTTCGCTAGACTACCGGTACCCACACTGTACCGTACGTTACCGTATCGAAGCGAAACACATAATAAATACCCCCCCCGGTTACCCCATGCAACCGCGGTGTGATGCTGGTACAATGCTATTCAAGTATTGCGGCCCGACTTGGATCTATCCCTACCCACGCGTGAACCCCCCCGTATCTATTTGAGCACAGTACCACACAGTCTGGAAGGCGGGACCTCGGATGCCCTAATATACTCGAGTACGGTGCCGCATTACGAGAGAGGAGCACCACATATAGCATCAGTTACAGTATATGATACCCGTACCCGTTCTCGCTCCGGGTTGGATAGCCGGGTAAGCCATGGGGCTCGGGAAATCCTTTCCAGCCACTTCTCCGGCCGTTTTGCGAGGCGCCGTGCAAATAATTTAAAGAGACCAGTGGAGCAATCGTCGTTGCCTCACACTTGAGTGCTGGATCCTCGTTGGTTTTAGTGTCAGTGTGGAAAATGGCTGATCTGAAACAGCTAACATTCATGTGAATCTTTTCTAAATTTATAACACTACCGGTATCGGTCGCTACGATAAACCCTCCCACCTTCTTCTTCGCGTGTATAGTCCAGGCAGTAACTATCGGGCGGGAAGTCTGTCGATGCCATGGGCCCTGTGTCAGTACCGCACAGCGCCCAGCTGACGAGGACCCCGTGAACAAGGATTACTGCACTGCATAATATCACGATAGAAGCTTCTAAGCCCGGGCATCACAGAATTGTATGCACGACTTATGCAAAGGGTGGTTCAAATCCCTATAATACGGTACATGAGGCAGCTCTCCGTGGCGAATTACGATCGGAGCCGATGCCATTTCACACGTGATAGATCTCCTTGTATAAAACTGTGGTTTTCCCGGATTGCCGTAGACCTAAACCTACCGCATGTGGCCCCAGTGGAGCTGGCATTAAAATTCCTGGCAAAGCTAAGCCTGAGTGGGGGTGTCCTGGAAATGCTAGGTGGGGACGAGCCCAGACTTGATAGGGCCATTACTGTAGGTGGAGTGAGAAAGCACTACTCGCTCAGCAAGCCATTTTGTACTAGCAAGGTACGAGTGCAATTATGATACGGGTAGTCTAATAGGTGGGTTGAAATGGACATTGGGTGTGGGGAATGCTAGGAGTGCAGAAGATGGCAGAAATGCACTTGAATGACGAATGCGGCATTTTTGGGGTGCCGAGTTTCCCCAGAGGCTGAAAGTGAAAAAGAACGTCCAATGACGATCTCAACACGAAATGTTGGTTTAAAGGCAGATAATTCAATAGAGTACTGTACTTGTAGAACACCCCTGGGGGGTGGGGGCACTCCCCATATGTATGGTAAATTAGCTTAATCATGGTGCTACTGGATCACTTCCCGCCCCCCCCGAAGTCGCTCTAGTGAATCGCAGTTGAACACTTCAATGTTGAATAACCCTGGACAACCTCCAACTCAATGTTGTGGACATTAGGGAGCGGCTCGCCAGAACAACAAGTTGGCACTGACTGAGCTTGTTGACTGGGGCTTGAACCTTCTCATTGGAGAGAGATCTGCATATCGCGAAGTATGTTCGTACTGAAGCCGATCATCCAGAAAACACTCAAGAGTGGTGATTTAACTTGGAGAAACAGCCTCCATAAAGAGAGACCTTCCCCCCACCCCAATATTTAGGAAAGGTCCAACAAACATTGCACGGCGTACACGCAACCCCCTGTGTCTGGCGTTGGGTATTCCCAGATTGCTAATACTCTCATTCCGAGATCGAGCTTCAGTACCGGTATCATACTTCACAACAATCATACTTCGCAACCCCGATCGGGGGATAGTTTAGGTTCTGCAGCTAGTGGGCAGACCCACCCAAGAGCCTGCATCATGGGCTTGGCCATGCACGGGATGGTATTGTTTTCAAAACGATTGCATGCAAGGGCTCACTTCGCAGCAGATTCCGGTTGCGAGGGCAAGCAACATTGGTGCTTGACAATCGGCCGGGCCGAGGTGGACTTCGGCCCTCAAACATGAAATGAGTTACAGGTGTCCATCTGATCGGGTTTCAGTTTTTCAGCTAGAGCCCCGCTAGCTCTGTTGCACTTGAGGAATGGGCTTGTCCCCACTTGGGTGGAATGGTTCTTGCACTCGCGGTGTGCAATATCTTGTGAGCCATATGGCTTCCTGTTCAGAGAATCCTGGCCTTCAATGCAGAAGTTATTGAGCCCACTTAGGATAAAAATGTGGTATTTTAGGTTACTGGTCTTCTCAAGAAGCCTCGAGGATAAAAGGGAGAGAGAGAAAAGGACCGCAGAACATTTCCCACAGCAAATGTACACATCCATTCCTACACGGTCTAATTTACCACTGCTCTATTATATACAAAATGTGGATAGACGCCGCCCTGGAACCATAGGACAATCAACAAACCATGCAGCGAGCTATTCAGATAACCTCGCTCAAATCTAACTTTGAGCGATCTCAATCCCTCCGGCGAGGCTTGATCATTGATATCGTCGACCTAACACGACAAACGTTCCGAGATCCTGTCATCAGGTCAAGCTGTCAGGGTATGATCCATTTTTGCAGCATCTCCTACATCCGCACATCCTTCTCCGAAACTACTCGAAACAAGCTGGCCCGGGTGTCAAATACCGGTACGGTATGCAGATCCAACCTAGGTCCATAGGATATCACCCGATCAGTTCCCTTTTGCCGGGTATCTACATTGGGTACGTGGAGTTATCTCGGTGCACTCGCACTCATCGGCAAACGACCGCCAATTTTGAAACTTGGGGTACAGTACTGTACCGGTACTAAAAGTGAAAAAAGAATGCCAGATATCATATTATCATACCGGTATTATCATGTGTTCAGCCCCTCGCCAAAATGCTTGGCATACCCTTAACGGCCAGCCACACAGCGCCACAGAATGTCAGTCCAAGACCCCGCTGAGGGACGAGAAGACATGATGCATCTTCTAGTCTACTCGTAGACACCTCTCAGCCTTGAGCCATCTTGTCTGCAACCCAGGGTCGGAGCACGGACGAAGCGGCCGAGAGCTGACTGTGCTATCGCACCCGTGTATCGCCCTTTCCCATCGAACACACGATAGCCATACGGTCGCTTACCGGTAAGCTAGGGCTGAATAAAAAAAGGTTGTGTAATTTCCACCTGAGCAGCTGCTGGTTCTACAGGTACCGAAACCTAGACTGCAGTGAGATAGTTATGGTGTTGACAATCTACTTGTACTCTACTGTATCATACAATCAACCTTCAAGGCAACTGAATTTCCCCGGCTTTTCGACCAGCAACTTCAATCGCTATTATTTTACTTATTCCATTTGTGCTCGAGTATAGTCCTAAGTCGGGTATGGACTACGGTACAGGGCCTTTCCTCGGGGGGTGGTTCTTACTGTGAGAGTCCTCAAAGCTGGGGCAAAGATTGGAGTGCACTTGTATGAAGAAAAGGCAATGGCTGAGCAATATCGCAAATATATTTCCAAAAACAGTAAGACCACCCATTTTACTATAATGGGACTGGTACGATTATGCAGACTCTAGACGCGAGGGTCGATTTTGAGGTGCCGGCACCATACGAGTACAAGTCAGCTGTCATGGCCAGCCTTCTTCTGACGGGATCCTGCTCGCTGACCGACTGCTGAGCCGGCCGCTGGAGAATACCCTGGGAGGGGTGATGAGGCGCTGGGTGTGATTGTGGCTGTTTAGGTTTCTTGGCGGGGGCGCTCCCATGGATTAATTCAAGCGCTGAAACAAGCGGAGTGCTGCTATTATTGGGTTTGTTGTCGGTTGACCCCCTCTTGCGGTTGGCTGTGAGGCGTGATACGAGATGGTTACAGCCCTTGCGCTTGGCTCTGTTGACGTTATGCCGGATTGGGGGTTAAACGGGGCTTAGCTGTTGGCGGACGGCCGGCGATTTGGGGACCCTTCCGCCGCTCCTGCGTCTTGGTGAAGGGCATTCGCAAGTATTGTACGGTACTCGAGCACCGGTACCGTACGCTGCTGGCGCTCGCAGGCTTCGAGCTCGCACGTTGCTTGTCCATGTCAAACTGGGGTCTTGCCGACTCGAGGGCACTGGCGGCGATTGCGATTCGTTGGAGGATGCTTCACCACCTGCGTGTCTTGGCTTTTTCGCACTTGTGCGGTTCCGCACCCCGAAGCGGGGAATCAGAAACTTGGGAAGAAAAATGTCGTTGGGAAATGGGAAGGCAAGTTGGGTTGTTCGATACTTCTCCTGCCATGAAACCATGAGACTGAACTGTCGCCGCCGCCGTGATTTCCGATCGGGTGGCATTCGCTTCGCCAGATATCATACCATAGGCGCAATGCCGTACCGTATCATGCTCAAGTATCATACTTGTACTCGAGGACGTGCTATCATAGTACGACACAGTACTCAGTGATCTGTGCCGAATCTGGTCCCGGAACGCGGATTCCACCATAATTGCTAGGGAAATTCACAAGGGATCATCCCTCAAAGGCTCTTTTCAAAGGTCCGACTGACCGTCAGCCCCTCCACCAAAACGATCGTTCACCCACACTTCCACACACCCACATCTTGATAAATCACCCCCCACCGTCAGCTTTAAATACCGTACAAGTACCGTACTTACTCAGCCTCCTGCCTAGCCTGGCTGCCACGCTTTCCCAGAACACAACGCAGTCTATCTGCGCCCGCTTCCCGAGCTTCATTTTATTCCCATCGGCTCCCCCCATCCAACCCTTTTCCTACCCTATTCTACTTGTATCCCTTCCTTCCCCCCTCACACCCCCCCTCAATACTATATAACCCTCCGAGTGCTTTTTCTCTTCCCCTTTCTCGTCTTTGCCGATTCAGTTCACAAGTCTTTCCATTCGTTCATCCACCCCCGAAAGGAAAAGAAGGAAAAAAACAAACAAACACAACCAGTTCACCATGGGGAAAGCGGGACGATTTGCGTGTATTCTCACGCCTATGCTTCTTACACTTGCATCGCTATTTTGCGTGGTTATTGTGATGATCGGAGGAACAAACAAGAGTTCCGGCCCTATTAGCGGGCTCTACTTCTTGAGGGTGGGCTTTTTCACCAAAACCGCACTTTTTTTCAGCCGCAAACTGACGTTTTTTCCTCGGTATAGATTGATACTCGTTTTATCGATACCCCGGAGAATATGGACCTGATTCCTGGAACGGATTGGGATGATCAACTCCTGAAGTCGGGCTTCAACACTACTGCCGGCGACCTTGGACTTGCGGATTATTACACCTCGTCTTTGTGGAATTACTGCTCCGGGAAGGCTTTGGATGGAGATAAATGGGAGATTACCGACTGTGGAAAGCCGTCTGCTAACTATGCTTTCGACCCTATCCGCATCTTGGATGTTGAGGCCGAGGGAAAGGGTGTTGATTTCCCTGACTCTGTCAAGAAAGTTTCCAAGGCTGTGAACGCTGCTAGCAAGGTCATGATAGCCATGTATGTTCTCGGAATGGTTACTACGGTTGTAACTTTCGCTGTTGGATGGTTTGGATTGCTGTCAAGATGGGGATCATGTGTTACTACTATTTTTGCCGATGTATGTTTCCCCTCCCCTTTGTCCCTCACCCGTGCCCTTGCGCCACTAACCCGCGTGTGTTTCAGATCGCGTTTTTCTTCCTCCTCACCGCATCCATCATTTCCACCGCCCTCTACGTTTCCATCCGTGAAGCCTTCAACAAAGCTCTCAAGGACTTTTCCGTCAATGCACAGATCAACAGGCAAATGTTCACTATCACATGGCTGGCTGTTGCCTTTTCCTTCGGTGCTTGCCTCTTCTGGATGTTTTCCACCTGTTGCTGTTCTGGAAGACGTTCTCGCATTATGGGTACCGACCACAAGGGCAAAGGAAAGAGCATCTCTCCCATTGGCGGCGCCAAAGCTGGATATGAGAGAATTGCTGCCCCGTACCAGGGAGGTTCAGGACCCGGGACGAAGCCCATGTCGGAGGTCGGGAAAAAGCAGGGTGCAGGATTCGAGCCGTTTAGACATGCTTGAGTTTGGGATATATGCCGGGGGGAGTAATGAGTGAACGATGGTTGAGGATCGCAATGTGGTTACTCGGACTGGGTCAGGTTGGGGGCAAACTGGATGGGATTGAGCTGGTACGGATTGTTTCTAAGCGGAAGTTTTATAAATTTTTTTTTTTTCGTGTTTTCACCTATCTTTGTTCTCTATTGCCGATTTTTCTTATATTGGTGGCTTTGGGTTAACGGTGCTTATATATTTTTCTTCCCATTCGATATGGGTGTTCAAAGCTGATGTCTTGTTGGGAGCAACGCTCGCCTTCCGCACACACTCACACCTACCTCGTAATCTGGTCTACTCGGCCGATTCATGACACGGGAACACGGACGGAATGGGGAGTGGGTGTATGATAAGATGGGGGGTGATGACCGGGCACGGGGCCACCCTATTCCAATCCAAAATTTAGACCTATAGCTAGCCAGCCCACCAGCCCACCAGCCAACCCGGCCAAATGGGATTTTGTGCACGCCATAGTCTACCATTCCCACTCGCACCCGAGTACTTGGGCTGTAATGTAATTGCAATGTGATGTAATGCTGATACCTACACGGTCGGTCGAAGGCATTTTCGACGTGGCGCGGTAGATCAATGGAGTAGGGCCAGGTGTGTGAGTTTGGTTAAGTAAGATGGGGAAACATTAAGCTCTGACTAGGGGGATCGGGCAGGAATCTGGCGGCAATATGATATCAGGAGGAGGACGGGAACCTTGCACCAGCGAATGAATAAGGCATCGCCATGGCTGGCTACGTGAAGGTTGTGAGGGATGAGATCCCCCCTATGATATTCATGGGATTTCTTATGCTACATACCGGTACTCGAGTGCATATCATACAAGTATGAGTGGATGACCTCCCGTAGCCGTCCGGAACAAGCCTCTCCAAATTTCGACTGGTCGGACCATTACCACATCAATTGACTGCCACCGGTATTGCAAATTTCAGTAACACACCGCTTCCGGGCGGGTATCCAGTCGAACAACCGGCACGAGACGATGCCAATAGTAGACTATCCATACCGTACCGTTGTCCGATAACGTACCGGTACTATTTTACTGTATTGTATGTACTCGTACCTAGGGGAGGGGAGGGGGGGGAAGGCGTAGCAAAAAAAAAAAATCAAAAAAAAATCAGGCGAGCGATATCTCGAATATTCAGCTGAACACTGGCAACTCTAACGAGCGACATCCTGAATGGATTAATTAGTTAATCGCTAGGCGGGTAAAAAAGAGCCGATTCAGTGGAGCTGCTTTGTAGTTTTCGAAACCAAGGGGGGTTTTTTTTTTTTTGAAAAACAAAAAAAAAAAAAACAACCCGCTGAAATTTTGTTTTTTGTCCATATAAACGAGTACGTACTGTACGAGTACTAGAGTACCGCACCTGGGCACGGTACGCAGTGCATGGCCACCGTGACCTTCTGAAGCTAGAGGTGGCACAATCCCGGGTCATTCTTATGGCATCAGTACGGTAAGTTACTGACTGGTGCTAATGTCGTGCGGTCGGGTCGGCATGATACCGGTACCGTAACCGTGCGGTACGAGTACCCGGACTCTTACTCTTACTGTCCAAAGCAGGCTGCGCTGACGAGATATCGTGCGGGATTTGAAACGTGGTGGAGGGGTGGAAGGTGGTCATGTTTTTCCGTTTTCTGTTTTCTGTTTTTAGGAATGGAGGGACGGTTGGGATGGTGATACGAGGTGTTGGCGGTGGGGGGGACAAGGGAGTGTTTGAGAGATTGGGATGTAGAATCCTGAGATACGGTACCGTATGAGTTGTTTGGTACGGTACCGATAACGCAGGATGTACTATTACCAGTATATATTCGTATGGTGGGCGGATTGGCGGTAGTCTAACTCACAATAATAATGGTTCATGGTGATAGCGCTGTGCCGGTAGTTGAGGAGGAGAGTGGATATGAACGAGCCGATGGTATCGGATAAATAACGAACGTTCTGAGGGGGATCAATTGCGCCGCATCGGGAATCGAGCTGCTGCATCGGATTCACCGTTGTTGGCTTTGCGTGCATCTACAGTACAGGTACGTGTGTGATTTCGTCACGAGAAAAGTGCAGGAATCTGATTGAGACATTGTCGACGCCCGATGGGATACCGATACCGGTACGGTGGGGTAGGCATCATGCTTGTGCGGGGAATTTTTTTCTTCTTCTTTATCCGGGGGATCCGCCGGGAGATTCATTCCGCTATCATAATATTATCATGTACTCGAGTTCTTGTACTTGTATACGGGAAAGGATCCTCCCCCTCTCGTTTCGATACAGTACTAGTACTCGTACAAGTACTCGTACAGTACCGTAGCACGGTAATTAATCCTAAGCGTGACATCTCTTCCCGCCCAAGTTTAACTTATCGGTAGGGTCAGTCTAGCCGCCAAAGGGCAGACCTCGGGGGCGCTTCCCGCTTTTACAGTTGCTTTTTAAAAGACCACAGTATCATACTCCGTTTCAAACAGCTCTGTCGACATCCGCCTACCCCACCCTCTTGCCCCACCTTACCAGGAATCCGATTCCTTCTACAGGCCTATCTCAAGACCTCAAATCGCGCACACCATGTCGGAATCGATCTACGCCCAAGCGGCCGAATCGGCGAATTATATCCGTAACCTGCTCCCGGAGGGATTGAAGAACCCTGGCGTGGGCATCGTTTGCGGAACCGGGCTCGGAGGGTTGACAGAGAGGCTGGACCAGGAGTTGCTGTTCGAGCTTTCGTACAAGGACATTCCGCATTTCCCGCAATCTACCGGTTTGTTTTGTCTCCCGTGGAGCTTTCGTACAGTGCTGATCGGGAGAGGGGGTGGTTGGCTTAAGTTGTCGGTCATGCCGGCAAGTTTGTGTTTGGGTTTTTGGGTGAGAAGAGGACTTCCGTCGCCGTTATGTCGGGGAGGGTACAGTATGGGTTTCCCGCTTCCTTTGTTTGTTGGGAATTTCGGAGGGGGTTAATTAGGCCTTTTGATGGGGCGTAGCTACTATGAGGGCCACTCTATACAAAAGGTCACCTTTCCTATGAGGGTTATGAAGTTGCTTGGGATTCATACCGCTATCGTTACGAATGCTGCTGGGGGGCTTAACGATGAGTTTTCCGTGGGGGATATTGTGGTTCTGAACGACGTATGGTGTTCTCGTATTCCTTGTGTAGGCGATACTCATGCTTGCTTGTTTAGCATATCAACTTCCCCGGGCTCGCTGGTGAAAACCCCCTCCGGGGACCCAACCAGGAGGAATTTGGCACTAGGTTTCCTGGATTGTCTGAAGCCTATGACCTGCCGCTGCGCAAACAGATCCACCTTAGTTACAAGAAGCTTCAATTAACATCTGAAAAACGAAGGCTTCATGAAGGGATCTATGTATTCGTTTCGGGCCCGAGGTAAAAATCCCCGCACTCCTGCTGCCTGTGTTTGCGTTTCGGCGGTTGACAGGATTAGTTTCGAGACTCGCGCCGAATGCCGCCTTTTACGGGCTCTCGGAGCAGATGTTGTGGGAATGTCTACTGTTCCCGAGATTATCGTTGCGAGGCATTGCGGGATAAGGGTTCTGGCCATGAGTCTTGTTACAAATATTTCTGTTCTCGAGCCTGGCCCAGGGGGGGACTCTCCGATCGTTGAGGAAATGGATGAGGAAGGCTTGAGGGATTTTTTGGCGGCTGGGGTAGCCAATCATAATGAGGTTCTCGAGGCAGGAGCTACGGCGGCGAAAGACTTGCAGGAGCTCGTAAGGCAATTTGTTGACGATATTGCTTTGTAGATGATATTTTGCTTTGTGTGTTTGATAAAGTCTTGTGTGGGTTTAGTTCGGTGTTGCTTTTCGCTATGAGACCCGTTTTTACTGTTGCACTTTGCCGTAAAGCATCGTAGCCACGTTTTGTGTATAATGGACATGTTCGTCTCAACTTTGTGCGGGAGCAGTAACAAACATTACCTTTTCTTAATTCATTTGTTCATTTATTTATTTTATTTGAAAGTTTGGGCATCGTATACACCGGATACTCGTGAACATGATGATCGCTATATGAGGCATGGGCCAGACGTGGGGGACATGTACTATACGAGTATCATAAGTTACAGAGTGATACAAGTGGTGCATCAAACACACCTGCCGATACATCTTCCATACATTACCGGTATTGGGTTTAGGGCATAGGGTAAGGTTACCCACACGTAACCCTCCTCTTCCAGCTTCCTTGGCAGTTCCCGCCAGAACAACTCATCGATCCTCCACCCTGGCCCTTCTGAGCATCTGCTGACCATACCATGATACCAACCCCGCTCACGATTTCATAACACGGAAAAGCTATGGGTGTTACGGGCTTATGGACGATAGCAAACCCCTGTGCGCGCCCTGTTAAGCTCGAATCACTCTCCCGGAAACGTCTTGCCGTCGACGCCTCCATCTGGATCTACCAGTTCCTTAAAGCCGTCCGGGATAAAGAAGGACACGCGCTTCAGAGTTCGCACATAGTTGGTTTCTTCAGGAGGATATGCAAGCTCCTTTTCTTCGGGATTAAGCCGGTTTTCGTGTTTGACGGGGGCGCGCCACCGCTGAAGAGGCAGACGATTGCCGGGAGGAAAGCCCGTAGGGAAGGAAGGAGGGAGGATGCCAGGAGGACCGCCGGGAGGATATTGGCCTTGCAGGTCCAGCGGAGTGCGGATATCGAGGCTGAGAGGCGAAGGAAGCGGAAATCGGGGGATTGGGAGGATGTGCCTGATGGGGAATTGGAGCAGGGGCAGCCGGAGGAGGAGGGGGAGGAAACGATTGGGGATGTGAGTCAGTTGGTTTACGTTGATGAATTGGAGCAGACCCCCAAGGAGCGGGCGAGAGCCCGTGGGTTTAGAAAGTCGGATCCGTACCATTTACCCGAGCTCCCTGTCGGCATGGAGAGCCTAGGGGCTCCGAACGACCCGAGAGTCATGTCGCAGGGTGACCTGGAAGAGTATGCCCGCATATTCCGTGGTGGGGAGGAAGTCAACCTTTACGACTTTTCCAAAATCAACTTTGACTCGGATTTCTTTATCTCGTTACCCATGGCGGATAGGTACAATATTCTCAATGCTGCGAGATTGCGTTCTAGGATGAGAATGGGATTGGCGAAGGAGCAACTTGACTCGATGTTTCCGAATAGGATGGATTTCTCTAAATTTCAGGTTGAGCGGGTTAAGGAACGGAATGACCTCACGCAGCGCCTTATGAATCTCAATGGAAGGAATGATCAACCGGGGTCCTATGACCCAACTAGAGTAGCTGGGGAGAAGGGAAGGGAATATGTTCTTGTTAGGAATGATGGTGTCGAGGGTGGTTGGGTCCTAGGTGTTGTCGGTAGCGCTGGAGCGAGGGAGGGCGAGAGGAATAAACCTATCATCGTTGACAATACGGAAGAACTTGAGGGCGAAGAAGAGAAAGACCTGGATGACGAGGAGGAGTTTGAGGATGTTCCGGTTGAGGGCCTGAACAGATTGCCGCGCATTGGACCTCGCGATGGTCGTGAGGGGAGCTTTTCATACGATGTATTGGGCGGCGCGGAGGCGCAGATGCTAAGGAGAGCGATTTACAAGAGCAAGAGGGATCAGGGCGGGCCGAGTAACAAACGAGAGCTCTCGCCAGATCCGATTTCTGATGCTAGTTTAGCTGGGCCTACTAACCCTTTATTTCTTGGCAATGACGAAGAATATGATGACGAGGACGATGATCCATTCCCATTGGACTTTGTCGGTGAAGAACGGGGTAATGATGATGAGGAACTGCAAAAGGCTATTCGGTTATCACTCGAGGCCCCTCGAGGGTATGATAGTATGGAGCTGCAATCAACCTTCTTTGGTCGCGATCTTAGCGATATCGCCGAAGAGGAGGAAGAAGACGAGCCCATTAATAATAAAGGGAAAGGGAAAGCTGTCGAGGAGCCTTCAGTGGAGAAAGAGGTATCACTACTGCTTGCGGTGCCTGATGAGGATGCAGATTTGAGCAGGGCTGTTTCTGAATCAAGACGTATGAATGGTGGTGTCATACCGAGTGGCCCCGGCTGGAGCGCACCTGGTGAGGGTAGCAAGAGCTCTAGTTCTTCTGCTGCTCTAAAGAATCCATTTGGGGGATTATTGCCCTTTGAGCCTTTAGAAATGGGCAAGAGTATGCTATTCAAAGGGAAGAAACCGGAGGAGAAACCTAGGGAGATGGGGGGGGATAAAAACAAGGGAAAGGAGAAAGATGGGGATGACTCTGCGCCGCTACCGCCGTGGTTCGCTGGGGGTGCGAAAAAAGATCTAGCGGAAGGGATGCGTTTGGCTAACCGCGACACGGAGCTCACTCGGGGGGAGAAGGAAAGGGAAGAGCACGAACTAGAGATGCAGAGGATTGCTGATGAACGGTATAAAAACCGGGACGTAGTGATGATTGATTCCGATGATGGGGAGGAGGACGACGACGTGGTTATGCTAGACGGCCTATCTGAGGGGGGTGACTTGAGCGTGGATGATGTGGCAGGCCGACTAAGAACACATCCACCCAAGCCAATAGACTCCCAGCAGGGGGGCGATGAAGAAGAGATCGAATGGGAAGAAAGCGATCACGAGGGTGTACTAGCAGCGAGGGAATCTACAGCTCCGCCGAAGCCTTGTTCTGGAGAATCGCCCCCACCCCCTGACTTCAAAGGAGCCGAGAACGGAGTGGCTCGAGAGGCAACTCCGCCGCTGGAAGATGCAGATGGCGGGGAACAATACACAGAACCTGAAGACTTGGAATTACTGCAGCAACTCGCCGCGGAATCAGAGGAGCACGCCCGGTTCGCCGCGGAACTAAATAGCAAACCCCAGGAACAAACCCGAGAGGGATACGAGCGGGAGCTCCACGCTCTCCGTGCGCAGCAAGCCAAGTATCGCCGAGATGCTGACGAGGTCACCCAAGTGATGGTCCAAGAATGCCAGCAATTACTTACACTCTTCGGAATACCCTACATCACTGCGCCAATGGAAGCGGAGGCTCAGTGCGCGGAGTTGGTTCGTCTCGGGCTTGTTGATGGCATTGTTACAGATGATTCGGATACGTTCTTATTCGGCGGGACGAGAGTGTATAAGAACATGTTCAATCAAGCCAAATTCGTTGAATGTTATCTCGCCAGTGATTTGGAGAAGGAATACGCGTTGGACAGGACAAGGCTTATTCGGATAGCACATCTGCTCGGTAGCGATTACACGGAAGGCGTGCCTAATGTTGGTCCTGTCACGGCCATGGAGCTCCTAGCCGAATTTGCCAACGATAATGGCCTAACCGAATTCAAGGAGTGGTGGACAGCAGTACAAACCGGTCTGAGAAAGCCAGCAGACGACAATGATAGCCCCTTCCGGAAGAAATTCGTAAGTTCACACCTCCACTATCCCCCCACCGCCTTCCGCACTAACGTCCCCGCCAGCGCAAAAACTCCACGAAGCTTTTCCTCCCAACAAACTTCCCGGACCCACGTGTCGACGAAGCCTATATGTATCCAGAAGTCGACCACGACCCCTCACAGTTCGAATGGGGAATGCCAGATCTTGATGGTCTTCGGCGCTTCCTCATGGCAACAGTGGGCTGGTCCCAGGAGCGCACTGACGAAGTACTTGTTCCGGTCATCAAAGACATGAATACGAAACAAGTTGAGGGTACACAGAGTACTATTACACATTTTTTTGAGGGTAGGATTGGGACGGGTGCGGCCGGGGTGGCGGGCGCGCCTAGGAGGAAAGTTGGGAAGAGTAAGAGGATGGAGAAGGCTATGTTGAGTCTACATGAGAGGGCTAAGGGGATTAATGGCGGTGAGGGGGATCCCGCGGGCCAGCAGGGTGGGGATGTAGATGATGGGGAGGCGGGGAAGCCGGCAAAGGGAAAATCGGCTAAGAAGAGCCGGGGTAAGAGGAAGTCTCCGGTTAACAACAACGGTCGAGACGATAATGAGGAGGGGCTCGGAGGAGAGGGGTATCATGAGGAAGAAGCACCTGCTCCAGCCAAGAAGCGCAAAACTGCTAGCGGAGGAGCGAGGAAATGATTGCATGGCTATATCATCTATTGCTTATATTTTTCTTCTTATTATCATCATCATAAGCCAATTGCATTGCATAGATTGGTGTTTGTGTTTTTTTTGTTTTTTGTGACGTTTTAGTTTGAGCATCATGGCGGCAATGATATCCTATGTGCTTAGTTGGAGTAGTTTTTTCTTCTTCCGCTAGTTGGCTTGTGTTGAGTTGGCTTGTGCGTTTTGGCGGTGTAGCGATAGGGATGGATAGGGATGGATAAGTGAGTGGGGAAGTGACGGACGTCAGGTAGACGTTGTATATATCATATATGATACTCTGATAGAGAAGTTACATTAGAGTAGTCACTGGGCTCTGGCATGCGGATTTTGTGGAGTGTGGCGATACGTGCTGCGGTTGGTGATGTGCGGGTCGGGGGAATTTGGCGCGAGGCATCGCACTCCTACGGTGATTAAAATTTGTGAGAAGTCCATTAGGCTTCCCCTCTTTCTCTATCTCCATCTTACAGGGCATCAGTGTGATCTATTATTGCGCATATCCGTTGCACATATTTGTACGGATGACGAGAACGCATGGATTTCGAACCTTTTTTGACATCATTGGCTATCAGTACCGCCCGGGGCCTGTACAAGTACTGTACTAGTACTACTCAGTACTGTGCCACCTGCACGAGGGTCGATGGTGGTACAGAATCCGCGTCTCACGGGCCCGTTGGTTTACCGGGGCGCTTGGTCTCGCATTACTATTCTCTGGATGCCACAACTACCAGAGATGGGTGGAATGGATGGCGGACGTCTCCTCTTGATTCGCCGGCGAGTGGTCTGCGGTGGTCTGGTTTATGATTCTGGCTGGGACCGTGGATGATCTCAGCCCCGCCTCGAAAATTACAGGACGGATACCCGCTCCTGGTACTGTGCAAGTCCCTATGATACAGACAAAATTTCCGTGCTTTTGCTCGCTGGTATAATACAAGTACTGGTCATGGAGGTTGCCCGCCAGTGGGGCAACGGTTGCCAGGAAGCCCAGGAGGTCCGCCCCCAGAACCCAGAAGGTGGCTCCTCAGCCCCCTAAACCCTCCTCTCCGGCTGCTGCCCAGCCTGCAAGAAAGGGCCTCACTATGCGAGAGCGTCGCCTCCTTATTAAGAGGGATGACTCCCCCCTAGCTCTTACTGCTGTCCAACTTTGAGACGGTATCAACAAGGCCCTGGCTGCTACCCTAGTCCAGTCTGTCTCCTTGGTAGGTGGACTCGTTACTCTCACTATGATGGATTCGGTTAAGGCAACCACGCTTAATAGCAAGGTTGGGCTTTTTCTCCACCTCATTTCAGGTGCCTCCACCATTCATCTCGACACCCCAGCCACCCAACTCCTGGTTCATGGCATTCCTACCTCCTTCCATCTAGCCTCTGTGGCAAGCGAGCTCACTACCTTTAATCCTGGCCTGTCCCTTACGGGGCAGCCTAGATGGCTCACCTCTGATGACGCACGGGATGGCAAGGCTGCCTCCACAATTGTTATCTCTATCACTGGTCCAAAGGCCAGATCTTTTGTAGGCAAACGCCTCTCAGCCTTTTCCAACCGCTACTGAACCGAGCACCGCCTGCGCTACAACCGCTATACTCAGTGTTCTATCTGTCACAGCTATGGACATCACACCAACAAATGCGTCAGCTCTGCAAGCTGCCGTTGGTGAACTCTGTCGCACGCCACTAGGGATCACACTTGTCCCACCTCCACCTGTCGTATCCGCGGTCGCCCCTGCAGCCACTCTTCTGTTCAGTGTATTAACTGTGATGGACCCCACGACGCCCACTCCCTTACCTGCCCCCTTCGCCCCCAACCAGCCCCGGTAGGGGATGGGGAAGGGGTTGACGACGAGGTGGATATGTCAACCACCTGACCTTGGTTTTTTTTAGGGCTTTGGTTTCTTTTCTTTTTTTATTGCATCGGTGTATGCACGGCCATACCTTGTTTACCTCCCAGGTTGGAAGCCTGTTAAGGGGTTTATTACTCTACCATGTATGGGCCCAAAGTATGTGAATTAGGCGTCGGCTCTTATCTGTTAGTCATCTGAAGCGATGCGAGGGGCTATATTAGCTCGAAATGGGGGTCATTCACCAGGCTTGGTCTGTGTGGGCCTAGGGAGACTTGGAAGCCAGGAAAGATATGTTTCCTTTGTTTATGCATGTGAAATTAAGGTTTTTTCTATTGCCATACTGCGAGGTACATGCAGGTTTTTGAGCCATAATCAATAAACGTATGAAATAAAAAAAAAAATAAAAAAAAAATGGTTGCCCGCCAGTGTAACCTGTCATGGGCCAATAGCTCAAGATTATTAGGGAATTGGGAATAGACCCTTAGCTCAGTATCCACGGGGAAACCAACGTTTTTTCACAGGCTCAGAAGAGGAGGGTGGGGGGGAGGTGCGGCGCAGCACAGTACAGTACAAAGATGGCATATAGAGGTACAGTACAGTAAGTTACAGTGCAGTTTCAATCATTAGTTCTACCGGCAGTGTTGCGCTCGTGCAGTACTCGTACCGCCCCAGAAACAAGTGCTATTCCGAGCGCTAAAGCCACCCTTATCCCTTACAGGCACAAAGTACTGCACCAACACTGAAGCGTTGATACCGGTATCAAACCATATTTGACAACCGACTAGACTACCATGCGCAGCTTAAATAGAGCAAGGCGTCCAATCAGACACTGTGCAACTCCAACAGCGTTGAGCTTCTGCCTACTGTAGGTATCCCCCTCCCTCCCCCCACCTGCCGCCACCTGCGGTATGCCAGTGGGGCTCACAGCAAACCCCCGAGGCGGATTCAAGCATTTACTGGTACTGTCTACAAAAGATACGGTAGTAGACGAAAGTCACGGGACATCAGACTGAATCAAAGTTTGTGATAATGGCGAGTGACCATGTATGATCATCATATTTGACTCGGACAGGTCTGCCCCCCCCCCCCCCCAATCGAGGTGGACCTTCCTTTTCGGTAAGGGCTTTTGGAGAGAATCTTCGATCCGCTGGTCAAGGCGATAAACACTTCGTTTGCGGGATTTCGCTGGTGTCAAAGAAGGAGCCGGCAAAGAACCTTGGACTCCTGGTTTTGGGTTCTTGGCTTGTTCCGTGATTGTGTTTAGAGAGGTATGATATGAAATTACACCGGTATAGTACTGATTAAGATCACTTTGTATCACTCGGATCATTCGCTTGAACTAAAGTATGTGGGGATTCCGGCATCGCGATCAATTCTTATAGCCAGGGCTTTTGCCAGTGTTCATCTAATGCATTAACAAGTCTTTATCCTCGGTGTTGACGTTGTGGTCGTAATTTATCATGTTGGGGTTTGTCAGTCACTGATCAGTGCGCTGGGTTCCGTGGATGGATGATATTAGTCTGGAACCTCAGACCTCTAGCTTAGGATGTGATGGTACCGCACTGCACTGTAACTGTAGCTAATATTACTTGCAGGTTACCTATGAACGGCCAAAGAGGTAAACAGTAAGACATAATGGTATGATATGATACTGCATTCTCACCCACGCATGACCATAGAAGACTGCCGTACGAGTGCGATACCATACATTGCCGCATCAGACTGCGGCACTACCCTTGTAGCGGGAGCGCCCCTTCGCACTGTACGAGTATCGATGGTGAGCTCTTGGTCCCCGTCGTGTTGACGCTTGCGTCGCGCCGGTAATTTACGGTAGCATCATAAGTTAGTTCGCGACAAGGCTGCCATTATCCCGAATTTTATTCCGGTGAATACGGCCACTTATCGCTACCGTGCTGACCTTCAATTGGTGTCTTTCGGGGGGTGGGAAAGAGTGAAAAAAATTCAAGATATGATATAAACAACCAAACCGGGGGGGAAAGTCCCCAGCAGCAAGAGCGTTTTGACAGGGAGAGGTTACCTGCAGAATCCGCCGGTACCAGAAGGTGGGCGCACGAAACCCTCGCCGGAATGATCAGGGGAAAAAAAAAAAGGTTGAGTCGGTGAGCCCGCTATTAGGATACTCGACCTCTACACAGATCCTATGTGTTGCAAAGCTATTGATAATGCAAGTCGACACTCACAGGCTGAAGATCGCCTAACCCCCCAAGAAGTAATTCTCAAAGGTCCCCCCGTGTAGGATAGGGCGATCTGTGGGTTGGGCCTGTGTTTTTCCTCTTCCACGAATCCACAGCCCCGCTCTCGAAAGGCGACCCCTTAGGTCCCGGGATTTGAAGAATGGTCGATAGCGTCGATTCCTTTCTGACCAGCCTTGCGCCTGTCCAGTGCTTCGTTGTGTCACTTCCTGATCACCTGCGGAACTGGGGGAGGGGGTTCTGCGAGTAAATTTTGGGTTTAATATTGTCATCGGTGGAACCATAGCGCTTTGCTTAATTCCATGTGTGTGTGGGGGTGGCTAGGGCTGTGGGGATGTTTGAATATCCCTGTTTCGCAGGGGAGTTTGAGGGGGGATAGGCCAGGCGTGCGCCTGTGCGGTAGGGTGGGGTCAATCTTTTAGAGGTTCTAGATGGGGTGCTAGATGGAAGGGTGAGTGGGTCTCTGGCGGGGAGGGCTAAGTTAAATCTGTCGACTCTTTCCACTTGTGCTTGTATATATCCCCCCCGTATCATCCATTTGGGATTTATACGTGAATGGGATAAGCTGGAACACGACCCATTACTCGCACGATGTTCGGCACTGACGTCATGAAAACGCTTGGGTGCTGGCACCCACGTATGATATCTTTTGCTAAGAATTCCTGACGTATGATAAAAACATGGAGGCAGGATAACGGTACCGTATTAACTTGAATAAGAGCAACACATCTCGGGACGTCTGACTTGCCTATTTTGGTAGGGACGGGAGAAAATACCAGCAAAATAAAACCACGCGTTACCAAGAGGGGAAACCTAGACGTCCCGAGCGGTGTTGCTCTTATTCAAGTTCATACGGTATCACTCGGCATTAAAGTTTAGTGTATGTTGAAAACATGAGCATGATTTCATATACGAGCCATAAGCA